TGCGAACCTACTTTACTTTTTCTAGATTGTTCCTTTCAAATTCTATATAAGAATCATGTAAAACCTCTTTTGTAAGTGTTGAAAACAGAGTATATTAAATAAAAATCACTCTTTTCCTTTTCTCTACACAATGGTCATTAAAAAGGCTCTCAGATTCCACTTGCACATCCTATTAACCATGTCTAATGCCATCCTCACCAATCTAATCTATCCTACACCCAGAAAACACAAACCATGCCTCACTGAGGAGTTTTATCAAACACCTTGTAGGCTTTCTGCACGTACCTACCACATCTTTCACAAACCCTCAAACCCAGCTATGTTGAACAAATCCAAAGAGAAAACCCAATCTTCACCAGCTTCCAGTAAAACTCCTAAAGGTTTTTGACTTCCCAAAACCCAAAAAGAACAAACTTTTAGCCATTGAGAAATTACGGTTTCAGAGGCTCGAGTTTGGGAGAAAAGTGACTAATAATGTAGTAAATTGAGAACAAGAATATGTATATAGAGTTGAAAATGTACATAACATGAACTGTTTACTTTAAGTATAACGTATTAACAAGGGACAAATCACTAATAAATCAATTAAAAATTATATGAAATCATCGCTTAAACGAGAAATCCCTCAAGCTTATGTTGCTAATCTCATGGTGTGTTCTTATTTGTGCAGGTCCACGAGGAATCTCCACAGATAAAGAAGAAACCTCCTTTTTCTCTGAATCTTCTTCTCTAAACCTAGAATGTTGGTTCATTGAAGAAGAAGAAGCTTGGTCAGCTGTTTCTTGTTGAGACTCAGGATCCCATGGAGAATCGAAATCAGAGAGTCGACTCGGAGATATCGAGTACGTGAAGCTATTGTTATCATCGACGCTTCTGCTTCGTTTATGGACGTTACGAAGGAGATGGATCGGAGAAGAACCATGTGTTGGTGTAGTTGGTCGGCTAGAGAAAGGTGTGGTTGATTCTGAGTTTCTTCCATGTTTGACCTGCTTCTTAGCTGTGTGATGCCAACTCTTTAATGCTGTTGCTACTCTCTCGTTGAACACTGTTGGTTTCATCTTCGAACCCATCTTCACCAAAACATCAAATTCCAAAATCTCAGAACCAAAGTCGAAAACTTTTAATCATGTGTGTTGTGTTTGTGTTGTGTTACCTGAGTCACTAGAGCGTATAGAGGAAGAGTAACGTAGCTGCAAAGAAACTGTACAATAACTCTGCAAGATCACAAAGAAAGGTTGAGACTTTCGTCTGTTTTTTGATGATTGGTTTAAGCTAAAGCTTTCCTTACCCTACTGCAATTCTGATGATCACATCTATATTGGTTTTGTGGAAACAGTTCTTGAGCGTGAATTCATACTGCAGTATAGCAAAAGGTGATTTTTAATGAAAAAACTTTGATTCTTTGAATATAGTCAAGTTTGTGGAAATTGCAGAATTGCTTGCTTACTGTACTCCAGGCGATGAAAGCGAGTTGAAACGCATTCTGAAAATGGAGAAAGAGGTTTGGTTTTTTTGCGGTTGTTGTAACGAGAAAAATAAGAGCAAGGAAGGAAAAGAGTGTGAAAGTATACCGTGAAAAGGACTAAGTGAATGAGGAAGAGAATGAAACGTGGTCGGCCGAACCAGAAGAAATGATCGTCGGGCTGAACAAGCGGCGTGCCTTTCACTATGTCGCCTTTCTCTTGGATTCGAAGTCCCAGTTTTGTTATTATCACTTGAAGCTTTGTCCCAACAATAAGAATCACCTGCAGTTTGTTAACACATTCTATCTTATCAAAAAGACGGAAACCGAAATACGAAAAAAATGTTCTTTTCGAAGGTTTTGATGCTTACAACGAAGGGAATGAACGGTAACCATAGGTGAGACTCCAATCCTGTTCATAACAAAAGCAGATCAGATATCAGTTTTTGGATGCCGCAAGGGCTTTTTAAGAGATATTGATGCAGCAATGTTTTAAAAATGAGTATACCGTTTGTATTAGAAAGGAGGAATAGCACGGCGACGAACCAGATCACAGGACTGAAGGTATAAATAAACAAAATCAGATCATAAAGTAATTAGCGAATTGAAGGAGTTTGTAAAACATAATTAGTTCCAACCTTATTTCGACGATGGTTTTGAAGTCTTCCTCTAATGATCTTTGAATATACTTCCGGAAATCGAATCTTGCGTCGCTCCCAGGAGCTAAGTGTGCCTGAAGAAGAAGAAAAAGCATTTGTGCAATGCCTTACTAAATTTTTCTTGAGAGAACAGTTTTTAAACATTAGAAAATTTCAAGATCAAAAGATTCGGTATTTACCATGATGAAACCATGTCTCAGTGTTAAGTAATCAACTTTGGTTACTGATCCAAAGAACTGCCTGAAGAAACATACAATCCACAGCGTAATCGTTGATTTGCTCCAGAAATTCAGATGCCTACGCCCGAAAGATGTATCCCTCGCAAACCTAAACCTCTCAGGATCTGCATTATTCAAACAATGCCTAGTTGAAACTTTCACACTCAATTTCAGATTTGTCAATTTTCCATTCCAAGATATATTTACCATTGGAATACTGATATTCGATTGTCTTCGTCTCCTCTTCCCACTTCTTCCATCTTCTCATCTACGATAACAGAAACATAAAAAGATCCCATCTTTAGCGAAACGAAGCAAAATCTCAGCCGGTCTGACCAAAATGTGGATGGATACGAAAGACTTTACCTTGATGTTTCCCAAAGCATAAATACCAATGCAAGAGATCACATGACAAACCGCAAGAACGAAGATGAATATATGCAGCTGATGCATCCCGTAAGACGATACAAAAGCGACTTTTCCCTGGTAACAAAGATTACGAAAATCGTCAGTCAAAACGGAAAAACCGTTTGCATTAAAGGTTCTTACGGAGAAATATTTTATAGAACGAACTTTACCTTCTCTGCACACTTATCATAACCTTTTGTAGCCAAACTTCTTCTAGGAATGAAAGACTCGACTAATTCGAGAAGCTTTCGACCCGAGTTTTCTTCTTCTTCTCCTTCATTTACGGCATCTTTCGTAGGTTTCTTTTTCGTTATTCTCGCCAATTCGGATGCACTGCAAGGGTGCATTGATGCTGCTATGCTCTTAGAGATGCAAATTTGTGAGATATAATCTTGTCCGATTGTTAGCAGTAGTGATAAGAATCCCATCAGCATAAGCTCTGCACTTTTAGAATTAATTTAAGTTCATTTAATCAAAACTAAACAAGATTAACCACTTAATATAATAAGTACGAATTTTACCTGCTTTGACCTTTTCAAGAGCTTCATACAGAGCTTTTTTGTTCTTCGTTTTAAACCACTGTCACAAGAAACCAAAAGAAAAACAGAGCATCCATTTTCAGTTTTGTTTCGTATCAGAAATAGAACACACTAAGAACTGTAAAACCTTTTTGGGTTTTGGGGAGTTTAAAACATAC